GGCAGTCCTTACCCATTTAAAAAGTTTTTCGTACATAAGGAAACAAACTTTTTCTTATTTATAGTTAAAATAATTATGCAAACATAGTAATCATACGAACCAATGCGGAGCGTGCTAGAATACAATTTTTCAGCGAGAGCAGACTAAAAATTTGAGTTCATGAGAAAAATCATCAACAGAAATAAGAAACAATATCAACGAATTGAAATACTTATGATTATCCAAAAGTAGTGGTGAAAGTGCTTTATTTCCGTATTGAAAGCTTGAAAAAAAACTTTTTCTATATGCAGTGATTGCACAAACAATGTTCTTTTTTTCATGACATTTGATCATTCTTCAACTAATATTATAATAGAAAAATTTCGATAAGAGCTATTTTCCTATGATATGTGACGGCGATAGTTATGCCTATTTAAAAGCTTTTGATAGAAACAAGATAGAAAGCTGTAGTTTTTACTGTTCGAAAGAGGAGATGAAGGTGCATTGAATCGTACATGATAGGATTTTTTAAGGTTTTCAATCGACCTCTTTGAAAAGAAATTTACTTCGTGAGATGTTTACAACAAATTTTCAAGTATCAAATGTATATTCAAATTGTCAATGGAAAACCAAGACAACTGCGCAAGGTTCACACGTATAGAATTAATCATTCAGGAATTATATATATTGCAGTTGAAACTTTAAGTGATTTGTGTAGAAATTTCTGTGAAAAAATGTCTTGCTTTTGCTACCTTCGTTTTTGATAAAAAAAAAAACAATGTTTTCAACACTTAGAAAATTGATTAAACGAACTTCAGACAACATATTAGGAAAACCTAAAATTTATGATTCGATGCATCTTCATCTCCTCTTTCGAACAATGAAAACTACAGCTCTCTATCTTGTCTCTGCCGAAGAAGGTTCAAAATATATCCAATCATCCTTTTACTTTTTTAAATAGGCATTAGTATAACTGTTACATATCACAGAAAAATAGCTGTTATCGAACTTTTACTATTATGATATTAGTTTCAGAATGATCAAATACCATACGAAAATAGAACATTGTTGGTACTATCACTACATATTAAAAAAAGTGTATTTTCAAGCTTTCTATACTTCAATAAAGTGCCTCTGCCACTATTTTTGGATAGTCCTACATATGTATAACAGCAGAACTCAAATGAAGCATAACAGCTAGCAAGACAATTTCCTAGGTGATTAATCAATGTTATTTGATTTTTGTTATAGTTCCTTGCTCAATATGTAGAATTTGATCAAAGTTGAGTAATTGTGCTCGTTCAGTATGTAACGTGAGGATAAGAATACCCTTTGATCGATACCATTTCATAATGTTGTCAATAATGCTCACTGTTGTCTCAGAGGGTAAACCTTGGTCAGGTTCATCGAGAATAAGTAGAGAAGCATGGCGATGATGAGCACGAAACAAAGCTCGTGCCAATAATAATCGTGTCTTTTGTCCACCGCTAAGTTTATTTTCCATTTCTTCATCAAGATTTCCATTGAGTTCGTTTTGAACGAAATCATCGATTTGAACGATGCGAAGATATTCCCATACGAGTGAATCGATTTCTGACGTTCTCTTTTGTTTAACTTCATCTTCATCAATATCCGTAATCATACTGTAGATTGTCGATCGATAATCCATGTCACTATCTTGTAAAACCATTGTTCGACATTTTTCAATTGAATGAAGAGTTATTGATTCTGGTCTATTGTCAATTTTTATCTTAGCTGAATAGTCCTTAGCAGGTATTGAACCATTTAAAATATCATAGAAAGTTGATTTTCCTAGAATAATATTTACCATCATTTCATCAATATTCTAGAATATAGTTATACAACGAGAAAATCTTACCTGCTCCACTTTTTCCCGTAATTAATATTGCTTCTCCCATTTTGAATGTCAATGAACCATGAAGTTGCAACTGAAATGCTTCACGTTTACCTTCATATTGAAATGAAAGCTCTCGAATTTGTAATTCAGAACTGAAATCTATTTGTTCGGCATTGATTCGTTCATCATACTCTTCAAATATTGGTTTAACGAGATCATAGTCTTTTATCAATCTTAACCAACGTATATAGGAAACGAGCATCGTATGAATCGAGTCAGTCAAGGTCGATAAGTAATGATACAATGGAATTATGAATGTAATAGTTCCATTTGATAGATAGTATATGACAATAGTTATAAATGTACATAATTTGCCAAGTACATCTTCTTGAAATGATAATTTGGCGTAAAGATAATCAAGTAAAAACCATTGTTTTTCCATATCAACCTTTAATTCATTTGTAATATTGACAATTTTGTTTTTTTCATGATGAATAACATATTCGAACATGTTCGCATTTGCACGTGAATATTTTGAACATAATTTATCATTTTTTTCGATCATTTTTATTTTAACTGCAAGTAATTCATTACTCTTCTTGTTCAAATAGAGTCGATAGAAAAAGAAATAAACAATACCGATCAATACACTTGCAATAGGACATATGTAAAGTATGGTAATTACGGTGATAATCAATTTCGAGACTTCTCGTGAGTGATCAATTAATTCTTCGACAAGATATTGAATAGAAGAAGAAGCTTCTTCGATCTTTCGTCGAATTTCCACTTGATCAGATAATTTAATCTTGATCCAATCAGCACTCAATATCCGTTGATTCATTTTCGTTTGAAAATGTTTTAAAAAATCAAGAACAAACGTCTTCTTTGCTAGACTTTGTTTAAGTAAGCAGTAAGATGAGACATTCTCAAATATGATTAGTAGAATGAGATATTTCAAACCTTGAGCGACATTTATTGTAATGGTTGAGAAGAAGAACACATTCAAATAAGTAGTTACTGTCATTGAACTGACACACAATATGAACCATTGAATTAAGCTAAATGGTTTTAAAACAATAATTATGTCGAAGATTATTTTGTGCAATGCCCATGGAGATGAACTTGAGAAAAATATCGGTCGCATTTTTGCCATTAGAACTATTTTGAAATTCTTTCAGAAAATTATTCCTATTTAAATATCTCACTGATTACTGAATAACATGATGAAAGAACAATGCGTATTATGAAATATATAAGCACGTGCTCGAAGCATGATTTCATAAGAACAGTATTTTTATCGAAGTAGTGACGTTTATCTCTCAAAATATTTGCCTTGAGTCAATACAAGAGCGCAATAACCTTCTCTTTTCTATTATCTTATTTTCTTGTGAATCTCAACATGGCACCATAATCTATTAATATAGAAAATAAAATGCCATAACCTATTTTGATTTGACAGACAAGATGTGTAGGTTAGTGTTGTAATGAAATTTTTCTCTTCTGTATTTATTCCGTTTTTAAACATTAGAAAGTGTTTTCAACAACTTTCAGGATAATTAAACTCTTTTAAACAATTGCTCTTCGAAGTTTCGGATCGAAAATAAGTGAAAGTCTTTTTCATATCATAAGCAAAACTTTTTTCAATGAAGCTTCGAGAAACACTTCTTAAGCCTTTCAGGAGACAAAGATCTGAGCTTCTATGCAATATATTCTATAAAAGAATAGTGATATTCATCATTGCAAGATTTTTGTATTAGATAATTTACAAAAATAGTAATAATTTAAAAGATCTTGAATATTGTATGGGTACCTAACTGATCTTTCGTTTACTTATGAGTACATTATCAGTGAAACGTGACGTTTGTTATCTTATATTTTGTCACTCAAAAATACAATCGGTAAAGATTTTTAATCAAGCGGGAAACATCGTACTTTTGTACTCTAAAGTACTTCGAAGTACTTTGAGGTACGCCAAAGTACTTAAAGAACAAAAGTACGATGTTTCCCCCTTGATTTTTCTCTTGAATAGTGCAACTTGATATTCAATAAAATCTCTTATACATAAATAAGAAATTATTTATCACTCTTGCTTCTAAAACTCTTCATACTGTTGGAGGTAACCAGATTTATTGCGAGGGTCGAAATGTATTGAGTATGAATACGTTACTCAATATATTGATGAATTCTAAACATAATCAAGCATAACAAGTCTACAAGCAATTATGTTCACTAAAACACTGCGAGGGTGTGTGGGTACTAATATTCACTATATTCTCAGCCAGAGCCAGGGTCACACCCATGCCAAGGGGGAAACTGTGTAATTTGTACTTGAAGTTAATTTGCGCTACTTCACAGCACTTCGAGCTACTTTAAAGTACTTTATTCTGCTTTAGATTACTTTCGATGTTACTTTACTCTATTTTACTTTACTCGAAGTCCGCCATTGTCCCCTTGTCCATACCCACATCCCGTTAGTTTTTTAAATAATCTTCAACATCTAGCAACAAAACATTCGATATTTCTTTTGAAGATTATGTTACTTTCAAGCAATATGCATCTTTTCATTTATTTCTTATTTAACTGTTTTGTCTTAGTCAATCTAAAGAAATGGAATTCGTTTTAATTACGTATGGCGATAGTTAATAATTGGACTTTAGTCTATATTTCATAAAAAATAATTTTCACTTTCTTTTTCTCCATGCATAGGGATTCTGTGTGAACTGAAGATATATTCAATATCTATGAAAACTGCACGATACACGATCAATTCATAGACGTACTTGATGTGATAAGTATAATGTGATATCCAATGAGAGAAAATATAGATTCATTTTGACTAATTACAATAGTATCAAATGAATTTAAAGAGAAGAAGTCTTCGACAACGTTGTTATATGTAGAACCGAAATCTTCATCCCTGACACCTCTGTTTTTGTTAGAGTTCTAGGGATCTCTCACTGTACTATAAAGCCTCATCATACTATTCTAATTCATATTTTATTGATCCGAAATTATTGAATATAACCACACGATGATATCAAACTCTCTTTACTTCAAGATTCATTTGATAGAAAAGACTTGGATGATTTCCAAGTTGGTTGTTGATGCATTGGTTTAGTACAGTTCAAAGGAGCATTTTTGTCATTCATGAACATTTTAAGATATTTCTTTCAAAGGATCAGCTGTTCGTCACTATCATTCATTAACATCAAACTTATATACCATATTTCGTTCATCAAATATTTGACAGGATCTACACAACATACGGATCTCATGAAGTAGAGAGACATTCGTTCTCTGTTTTAAACATGCTTAGCTGACTAATATTAGCTATAAGAAACTAGAATATTCCTAATAACTTCGATTTTCATGGACACACTCATTTTCTTTCTGTCGTTGAAAATTTCCTAAGCGGAATCAAGAACTAAATTAAAATAGAAACTTGTCGATAAGATATTTGAAGCAGACATGAGTTCTCTTTCACTCGTCGGAATATGATTGAAGCCTCACTTTCTATGCCTTTTTCATGATACAATTGTCTTTTTTCTAACGTTTTTTTCTGCTATTCGACTCTTTCTAAGTGAGGATGCTGAATAAAGAAACGTAGAACGTAAACTATATCATATTGACGCATATCAATAGCTTTATTTAACATTCGATAAAGAAAAACGTCCCTGATATGCCACAAGTAGGCGTATGAAACGAATAAATTTTTTGTTCTTCAATAAAAAATATTAATTCTTCACAGTTGTCTTTTTTATGTGTTCCCAGAAGTTGTTCATGCTCCTCATGTCCTCTTCCTTCATAATCAAGATGATCTCTCGAAACAAATGATCGTACATAAATATGACTCTTTGTTGATTAGTCTTTGTTACAGTCTGAAAGAGTGATCGTTTCACTATTATCTTTCCATAATTGTTCACATAGAGGTTTGATGGATGCGTACAGACTATGAATTTTGCAGACATGACTAAATTCATTTCTTATGTTTCTTCTTATTCGTAGATAAAACATAGATATAATCGACCTGAGAAAGTTCTTGCATGGTTGAAACGAACCCTTATCTAAGGATTGCCGATATATTGAGAAAGATCTCTTCGTCTTTGACAAGATTAATGGAAATACAGCATTCTTGAAGATTAGTAAAAGTGTTGATGATCTTGACAATAGCCTATAATCAATCTTTTGATTTCTCGGTATCTGTATTGATGTTGAATGAGGCGACTAACTAGATGTAAACGAACTTTTCTACATGATCTAGTTGCAGTTGGGGTCGCCTGGATCCTGAAAGTAGTATTTGAACAATGGAGCTCAAAACTAGCTTTTCACTGACAATCGCCTTTCTTGCTGAAAGAAATACATTGGAAGCGCCACTCTAACTGATTTTATAAGGATGACAAAAATCGATTAAAGAGAACAGAAAATAAAAGACGCACATAAATAGCAGTCTGATGATTGCTAGCCTCCCACCATGCTTTCATGTTCTGTTTTTTTCCTCGTTAATCTCATTTGTTTGTGCATCTGTACTGTGAATTCTTTGAATAGAAAATCTCGTTTGTAACCTTAAAAGCAATACATTCTCCATTTCGTTTGTTTTTCAAAAAAAGAGAATAACTTCTTTTTTTAAATTTCTGCTCCAATTTGCATTTTTTATTTGAATATGGTTTTATTATTGAAAAGCAAACCTTCGATTCTATTTTAAATTGAAAAGAATTATCATTCAACGTAACGTAAGTTGTGACAAATCCTGTTTCGATCTTTTATAATTTAAAACTGTCGAGAAATAATTTACAATTTCCATTACTTATGTTTGAAGTACAATACAAAAAAAATAGAAACTGAATTTTATTTTGGTATTCGCTAGAAAATGAACTAAAAACCATTACCTTCATGCCTTTTCTCCATAAAGTTAACTCAGTGAAAGCTACTATATCCATTAGGTCAGTTGATCTATGTTTCAACAAAATATCATTCCATAACGATTTACCTCATTCAATTTAATGTACTGATATCAATTTTATGTAATTTTTTAGTTTTTCGAAAAAAATACAGTAACTCATATTTTGCTTCAATTGAAAGTTGAAGACAGTATCTTTTCTAACGGTTTTTAAGGATAAAACTCGAATAGTAACACGCTCATTTAAGCTATTTACTTGCATTCGAAGAGCTTATATGAAAATATATCAATCATATAGAAAAAATTAAATAGTCTAAAAGTATTGTCAATTCGATGAAAGTTGAGTTAGTCCTCTTCTGTGAAACTTCTAGATGAAGAAATCTAAAAATTTCTCCGAACTAGTCTAAAAAACGATGTTGAACGATGTTATAAGGATTGCGCTATTCTATAAGTTTTAGACTTATAGAGATCCAGGAAATGTGTTATTTTCTTCGTTGACTATATCCTTTTTGTATTTCTATCGGTTCTACTAAATATAGTTACAAAACTGATGATGAATAAGAAGCGAATAGAAAAAAAACAACATACTTAAAACGTCTGAACAATGACTATTTTGATTTCGAATATACGATGCTCACTCATAAAATAACTTAGCACAATATGTTTTCATGTTGCACATATAATACTTATAATCTTTTGATACAAATATAATAGTTCAGAAAATTTATTTGACTGTTACGAACGTTCATTATATTTTAGAGAATATTTTTTAATGAAAAAATAAAAAAAGATTTAGATAAAAATCATTTTTTAGATAACTTTCAACGTCAATATAATCATATATCAATAGCGATAACAAAATATTCTTGTTATTCATTCGTCAAGAATCAGCTTACCTTTTTCGGTCAGCAATTCTTTTTCAAGTTTTCTTTTATCAAACTTTTTTTTATTAAAATGCACATTGCTGCTTATCTTTGTTGCAGATTTCTGTTCTATGTTTTTATGAATGTTATTCTTTGTCTTGTTAGATAGGATGAGTGTGGAAGTGTATAGTGAATGCCGTATTCAACTGAGTCCAATCACTGGTCAAAACATAGATTTCGCTCGATGTCTCATAGAATTGCGTCAGTACGATATCGGTGATTATGCTTTACGAGCTATTGATTTGAATAACCATAAATCAGTAAGAATGAATTATGAACCAAACATAATTTACCATATTTGGTTCTATAGGAAATTTTTACTTGTCCTCTTGTTGGCCGTAATCAATATAATTTTGCACCATCAGTTAAACAACCTGATATGATCGATATAACAAATAATACATGCCGATTATGGTTAAATAAAAACTCACGTGATAAATTTCATGAAGTATTACGAACATGTCTGGAAGAATTTATAATTGTTAAAGATAACGATAATAATCTTTCATCACAACAGCAGAATCAGCCACAGTCAAAAGCATTGTTAAGCGAACTATGTACAAAAGAAGATGAACCTTATTATCGAAATGAGGACCCATTTGAGTGTATTACTTGTCTGGAGACAATTACAAAGGGTGAAGGAATCTTATTCTATAATTGTCTTCATCCATTCTGCAAACAATGTCTGTTGAGAATGATTGAAACATGCACAGAACCAATAATTAAATGTCCACATGACGATTGTACTGCATTTATAACAGAACGAGAACTTCGAGGTGTAAGATTTAAACACATTTTGTTGAGAATTTTCTCTGGATTTTCCAATATTTTAGGTAGCTAACGATCAAAAAGCTGATCAAAAAGTGATCGATCGGCTGAATGACGTTAGTATGCGTTTTGCTGCAAGCCGTAATAAAACATTCCATTGTATTACACCTGATTGTACTCATTGGTGGTTCATAGAACCAGAAGAAACTAATAATATAATATATTGTAATGTAATTCTCTTCTCTCGCCGTAACAAGAAAATTTTTCAAATTTTGAGGATGAACATTAAATTAAAGATGAATCTTTCATTCTTTTACTGACGGGACATAAAAAAACTTAACACTATTTCATTGTATAGCTCAAGTCAAAGATGAAGTGTTTCTGAATTCTTTTCGAGAACTCCTAAATTCATTTGTCATAGGGTTGTAAACACTGGATTTGCATAACGTGTTCGGCAATACACGAAGGGCAAACTTGTAAGTGTACATAGTTTGAAACTAGTCTATTCTTTTATTTTATATATAGGTCGTGAATATCAAGATATGAAACTGCAAGAGACAAATAACGATAATGTTCGTAAAGACACAGAACATTTAGAAGTAAACAGGAAAACATAGTCATTAAATATATTTACTATTTTTTTGTTTTGTATAAAGGCAATGATTAAAAATAAAGAAGTCATGTATTGGTATGAACTCTTTATTATTGAATTAATTCACAGTGTTCATTAGAATGTGACATTTTGTTTTGTTCATTAGTCCTGGTTGTCGTATTATAATTCAAAAAATATCTGGTTGTGATTGGATTCAATGTAGTCAATGCAAAATAGAAATTTGTGTTAGTAAAATCATGATTATCAGTAATATTGTACTATTTTTTCTTCATTCTTTTGATTAGTGGCCAACACAAGGGCCTCGTTGGGGTCCGAAGGGACGTGGTGATACGTCAGGTGGCTGTCGATGTCGTATGGATAATGGCAAACTTTGCGTACCAAATTGTCAAAACTGCCATTAACAGATAACTTCAATCTTATAAACTTATTCATGCTCATTTTTCAATTTTTTTAATCGAGATTTTTGTTGGATACACTCGATTTTCAAAACAATCAATCAATATAATACTAAGGATAATAAATTCCGAAATACTTTTAAGAAAATAAAATGATACTTAATTAAAATTACTTGTAATGATTGCATTGTAGAAAAATTTTGATTAACATAATTATGATGATAAATCTATTAGCTTTAAATATCCAATACAGCATATTTATAATTAATAATATAGTCTTTAAAATCGTCTTGCCATTTTTATTTCAAATTATTCACGTTTGATTAACCTCAATAAAAGACCTTGCCTTTAGATTAAAATCAATTATTATTTCATTTATTGCCTACGAGAGAACCACTCGAACTGATAGCCTCTGTTCAAGCCTATATTGAGTTTACAAGGACGTCTCGATAAGAGTAGAAAAATGCTCAAAGGGCTCATATTCATGGATCTCTCAAGTCGAATTACGATTGTTTTAGTGAATTTTCAATCCATCTTTTGGCATTTATCGAAAAATCAAATAATGGAATTTCAACCTGAAGTATGTTACCCATAAGCAACTCAAATAACTAGTAGAATATCTTGAATGTTTCAGTTGAAAAGCATGGTCGTTTGCCACAGATATGCCACAACTATCGAGTTTATTTGAAAATTCGATATCATAGCGATAGAACATTCTTTTCTGCTGAAACTTTTGGGATATTCCTACAGGCATTAGACCTATCTATGGGCAATGTTTTAGGTCGAAATACTATTACTTTATTTTTCGGTAAATACCTAAAGCTGGATCGAAAGTTCAGGAAGACTCTCATCATTTAACTTCAGATACTCATGGATATGAGTCTTTTTAGGATTTTTCTAGTCTTATCCCGATCTTCTTGTGAACCTAGTATGAGTATAAATGGTGGGTACCAGTTTGAATGTCTCCTCTTTCGTTAGATATTATTATTGGTGAATCATGACATGAAGTATAGACACATGTTTGCCATCTGAGCTACCCTCTCAAGTCATTGGTTTTTTTTCATCATCGATAATTTAAATGTCAGTTAAGAACATTCAGATGTTTGAATATTACAGAGGTATCGATTTTGAAATTATTTTGATTCCAAAATGTTAATAGTTAAAATGATTGACGTAACGGAGAGATCTACAGCACTTAATTCAAGTTTCAAATATTGATGTTCACAAATATAAAATGTAAATTTGATTATTAAGATTTGAGTGTTATACATTATTTACATTTAATAATATTTATATTTAGCACGAACCGTTTAGTTATCTATTTAATATCAACTCATTGAATCTATTGGTTTTTATTTTGAATGAAAAGAATTAAACCTATGCTAAAGAAACAAGTATAAGTTGTGAGAATAATTTTGATAGTTTTATGTCTAATAGAAGTAGATTTAACTGATATAATCTTATAAAACCAAATTTCAATAATTGATTTTACATTATGAAAGTAACTTTACAGTATCAAATTGAACCGAAACGGATTGATCAATGATTCATTTTAAAAGGTGATATTTTGATTGACGTAAAAGAAAACATTATGTTTTTTTACTTACATTTTCATATTAAATGATCATCATTTGTTATATTTGTCAAACTTTACTGAAATATTTTAGATACTATTATTTTAGTTTATTTGATCAATGTTAAAATCGTTATTTAAAATACACTATCATAAATACTAAAACTTGATCATTGATGAAAATATTGAAATAAAATCTGATTTTAATGATTGGATATCTAGATATGTTTATAGTTTGATACTGAGAAATTTATGCACATCCACAAAAGCGAATGTGTATGTGAGAGAAGAAAAGACTTACACTTTGTTGATAGCACACTTTATAGTAATATTAAAAAAAGATTAGTTTTTGCTTGATAAAAATTAATAATTTCAGAGAAATAGATGATTATTTGAAAAAAACAAACAACTGAAAATCTCCCAATAATAAACATCTCCGTAAACTGAGCACTTTTGGTAAGCCCGGATCATGTTCACATTAGTGTGGTTTTACTTTATTTTCCGAAAATAAGTATTTTCTCATGTGTGGAAATAAATTTAAAGTGTAGAATTCACTATTTGACCTGTCAGATTTACTCTTTCTTTTTTACTTTTCATTATTGAACTAAGTAAGAATTTATTTTTTTGAAAAGCTTGAAATGTATTGAGTAACTTAGATTTGAACTTCAAACGTACTTTATCTGACTATACACATCTATTCAACTAACTCGTTCAACTACTGACTTTTTCTCAAACAATTAAGGAGCTATAATTTGTTTACTTCAATTAACATTATATAAACATCCACAACGAAATGTGGTTGTAAAATTTAGTTCGTTTTCGAATTCTGACATATATAACATAAATTCTAAATTTGATCAGTCAACTATATTTATACTGAGTCTCATCTGCTTTTGTAATAATATCGTTGAGATGAATAGGAGTTTTGACATAATATTATTGATGCGAATACAAAACAAGAAATGTTATTTTATTCAGTAGTATATTAAACACTCATACAATAGTTACAAGAATAAATTATTATAAAATGAGTGGTTCAATTGACATCAACATAAATTTATAAGACAAATTAAAAGCAAATTATTTTTAAAAATAAATTCTTTTCTTTCGTAATCGTTTATATTTCATAAATAAAATAAATGTCAGAAACATCGATACGCACGTGTTTGTAAATGTACTTATAAATATTTAAATAATAAGGGTTTTTTTAGTATGTGTATTTAATGAAGATTTTATTTTTTTATGTTATATTTAAAAGCATCTCTAATCTCTTTTTGTTCATTCATTACTTTGTTGACTCGTTCTTTCTTGCACATTCGTATTGTTACTCTTCAAAACAAAATCTTTGAAAAAGAAATAATAAAATTATTATTATGCCGTACATAAGATAATCGACGTGGGAGAATAATATATTAGTAATGAATGTTATATATTTGCAAAGGCCGAATAATGTTAAAAACTATTCTCCGTCATAAATTAGATTTGTTTCTTTAATGAACAGAATCGTTATATTTGTATGTATTATTCACTATAGTGAATTGCTTATTTGTATTATAGAAACTTTGTTCTTGATAATGTGAAAAACAAATGACACTCTGGACGAAATATTATCCTATTTACAATCAAAATTAGCGGTTCATTTTTCTCTGTACAATTTCGTTTTTTTTTTTAAATATTTTATAGTTCTTATTGTGTGTATTATCTTTTATTGATTCAAACTCTTCGTTAAACCCTTTAAATAATGACATTTTTCTTCTATTTATTGGTTTTATTTTTGAGCTCTGAATTTCATTCACCTATGGACTTCTAATCGTAAACAATAAAATTAATAATTTTTGCTTGAGTAACAATTGAAAGATCAAAACTTCTATTTCGTGATTGTTAAGCTGTAACAGAAAAGAAAAAAGAAAAATTTTTTAAATCCTTTGTCTATAAAAGTATTTTCTCTGTTTCACTAATATTTTATTTATTCTAGTTCTATAATTTTTTTTTATTCGTCTTGAAAACATATAAATAATCAATCAATAATAAAGGAGGGAGTGCACATGAAAGGTCTAATCGACCTACTACTAGTGGTTTTCTTGGTCAACTCTATTGAATCATATACCAACAGAAAGAGTATTGATTATAAAAAATTCAATGTAAGTAAAAAATAATATGACATTCGAAATCAGCATAAAAAAAGGATCTGGTCTATGTATGCTTTAAAGAACTACTGGAACTTTTTCTTCTATTGCAAAATTCACCCCGGTCCATTTCAGGTACGAAAGAAAAAATAAACTGGAGCAAAACACCATTTGAACATTATAAAGAAATCTCAAAAGCTATTTAAAGTTATTACATGGCAGATATCTAGAAAGTAAAAGCTAGTTTATCATTGAGTTTATTTTTCGTTGAGTGTCTGACGTAGGCCAAGATTACAATTTTCGACTAAAAGCCATAATTTCAGAACCGGTTTAAATCACACATAGACCAACTCATTTCCTTTATGCTGATTTCAAATATCATATTGCTTTTGATTCAAATGAAATTTTTTTCTGGTCGAAATTTTCTAAATATTGATTAAAGAGACGCAAAACTACATCGGAAAAAGATATGATTCTGTAGCTTTTTGGAACGACTATCAAATCTGCGATACAATAATTGTAGTCGTTTGAATTTTTAAATTTAAATATTCGTTGAAAGATAAGAATGGATGATAAATACACTAAATATGTTAAAATTGTGTATCAGTACATTAGTTCTATATCTCATTAAATTAAACAAATTCATTAATGGCCCATATGTGAGTTCGAAGCCTTATCAAGAAACTGTCAAATTCATAATTTCAGTAGTATTTTGTCTTGTTATTTTATTCTAAAATTGAATCTACCGTTATCGGATGAATTATTAATTAGAATAATAACGAAAAATGTGTTACTTTATTGATAGCTGTTAGGTTTGAAAACTTGATCAAAGTCTCATTATACTAATACGAAAATATTCGTCTCAACATATTCTTTCTGTTGGCATACGTTACAATGGAGTTAGTCAAAAAAAAACTACTAGTAGGCCGATTTGACCTCTTATGCATTCCCTTCTTTGATATATTTCTACATTGTATACATGCAAATTAAATATTTTCAAAATTAAGTGTTAAATTTTGTTAAATAGTTTGAAGTTTTATTATCGTTACTATTCGTATAGGGCACTTCTAAAGTTTTCTTTGACACAACTTCGGTTTAGATCGAATGATTTATTAGTGACAACTATGAAAATTAACATTTTACGTTTTATCAATTTTCTTGAATATTCTTAAAGCATTGTTATACAATTCAATAACTAGTAAATAATAAAAAAAATACTATGTCATATGCTTTTTTTTCACTATGTTAGCAATTATTTTTCCGTTTTTTTCTTGTACATGAATACCTAAACTTTGAACGAGAATATTTGTTCGCAATAAAGAACAGCAAGTAATTATTGCAACACTAATAGCTGTGTAATGAAAATAAACAATTAAACAACTTATCTTGAATGAAAATAGTGCAGAAAATAAATGATCATATTGTGTATAAGAAGTATAATGATGTTAGTGGAATGAATAAGTGAATATAAATTCTAATCTTAATTGATATTGTTTATTCTTATTTGCTTATTTGTTCCTTCAATTGACGAGAATCAGATTTACCAAAATAGATTAATTTCTATTATTTCACTTTATAATAAAAATCGAATTCAAACATTCTTAACAAAATCTACATTCTTAGAGATGAAGATTTAGTTCACACATAAAAAGTTTCTCCTTAAATTATTTTTGTACTTGACGAATACATGTATAAACACTCGAAATCAATTAATTTCGCTAATATTTTTTGAATATATAATTTTTTCCTACTCGATAATCATGTGACAGATTTATTTTAGTATTCCTAAAAAAAAACAATAGGTATCATATACGTTGAATAAGCAGATCAAATTGTATTAGCTATCAAGTGTTCTCAAATTTCTGAATATAAATTGAAATTAAAAAATGTATGTACTAATTGAGAAGCACAATGTTAAAAGAAAATACTAGTAGTTTCTTTTTACTAATGAATTATTTCATCATCGATCGATTGAAAAACAATATTTTATTACAAAAAGAAATCGAATTTTAGTTATTACAGAAGAAAAATAAAAAAATAATGAAATCCGCCTGCGTATTTCTTTTTTTATTATTTTCAATCAATCAGCATACAATCACAGCAATACATTTGCATTATTTACATGTTCGTTGGCAAATAAAAAAAAAAAGAAATATATGATACCATACTTGTTCCATGCAATTAAAAACTTCTATCCACACAGTACTTTATTGAATTATGTTGTATGTGTTCAAATAAATAACACACAATACAGTCAACTGTTGTTTTATTTGGAAAAAAAACTAAAGAACAATACATCAAAGCATGTAAGTGAATATGCTATTTTTTTGCTAGATAAGTTAGATATTCTTATTTTATATTTAGGGCTATAGCACCTGCTCGTATTCAAACTCAACAGCCACAAGCGTATTTTCGTCCAATAAATAATAGTTTTAATCTATTACCTAGTGAAAAAGTCTATCGTGAATGGGACTATCATGATAATATGTGTTGTTGTAATAATGCAAATTATACTGCTCTGACGGATATTCGACTGCTTACTCGGTATGAAGAAAATATTTGTTCTGAAAATTGTTCGGAACCTTCACATACAGATTCGGCTATTTTCTTACGTGATATTGATCAAATGCGTGAATGTCGTGGTGAACAACCAAGTTTTTTCTTTCTTCTTTGGATAACGTTAGTATGTGCATGGCCTTGTTATGTTATACGTCGTGTTTTTTGTCCAAAACCAAAATGTTTAGAAATTTTCGGTTCATTTGGTTCTGAAATGGTGCGAATTAAAAGAGAAGATATGCCAGTAGCTCAAGTTGATATATCAACAGCGGTTATTAATAGCAAATTAGTTGGTCGATCCTAATGAATCAATTCACTACTTTGACTTTTGTGTTCATTTATAGTCTACTAAAAAAAAACTTAACAGTTTTTATCGCAGACTTAAAAGTAACTTGATTAACAGAAAATATATTCAAAAAATAGTGATTTAACGATTTATATCAAACTAATTTATATGAAAAAGTTTTAGATGTTAGTATTTATTGTGTATACCTATAAGTAGATTATTTGTTGAATGTAATATTGACAGCAGTATCTAAGCAATGACACACAGAAATTGTTAATTCAATTTCTCTTACACTTCTACGGTTATACAAAGTTTCAGAATAATGTTTTCTCGCTTATATATGTTCTGTATTTATCAATATAGTTTATAAGGCAACGGGAAGAATAGAAAATGAAAAATTTTAACTTTTTAAAAATCATACAAATGTGGAATAGTTGCAAAAAGCCAATATCTCAGATTTCTCGAAATTCTTCAAAATTTCCGATAGTAATCTGTTATTCATTAAGAGATTTCTATTTTCTAAATCTTGATCTCCTCGTTCTATGGTAAGGACAGAATGAAACTAAAAGATAAATTTGATAAACTCAACGACTTCTGTAGTTTTTGAATGCCAACCAGTCATATTATAAAGAGAACTCATAGATATAGTTTTTCTTATTCATACTGACAATACTTTTGTTCGTATAGCATGCGACGCAAAAAGTCTTCGCAAAAATGTCAAACTCTTTTAAATTACATTGCTGATTTTTAAACCAATCAAATTCTTTCCTTTCTTGTTTGGAAAGAGCAATTTCTTAATTGCAAATTTTGTACCACTTACATGTAATGTTTCAAAAACGAATTGGAAATGAAGTAAAAGATAAAAATTAAACATGCCGAAAAGAAATTCTTGTGATTGTACCATTGAGCAATATGATTTTGCTAGTGTGCGGAAAGTAGACGTAATACTTTAAGAACTTCAGAGGGTTCTCTTGAAAAAAAATAGAAATGAACTTGTTGCAATTTGTAGCAGGAATTTTGTTCACTATATAAAAATTTGTAGAGCTAATATTTATTCGAAAGAACGAAGATCCATACAATCTATTCCTTATTTCTTACGGAGACTCCATGAAAATGTCCAATAATTGCAGATATTAGTTGAACTTTCGAATATTAATTTTAAAGAAAATCTTGAAGGTTCATTTTAACAAGTGAATATCGATCAGAATAAAATACTATTTCATTGAAAGCACACATCATTACAATAGGCAATGTTTTAGTTGCTAAATGTTCATTATTTATTCGAATGATTCCATCAACATCGAAGTCCTTATTCTACTAGTTTTGAAATTTTTGTACCTGTCGAATCTGTTTCCTATATGACTGAATACACTCTCTAATAAACAAACAATATCCGAATATCTAAAGGGAAAAGTCTCTGGAAAGAGTCTAAAATGAAGATACCAAGCAATAGGGAAGTTTCTGAAAAAAACAATTGTATCAGTTTCAGTGTGTTTGAATCGTAGTGTGATGTTAAGACGATTAAAATTGAAAACAATACGACGTAAAATTGATAGTTCAGAAGTAAAACTCGACCTGTTTTTTATGTGGTTCAACTGTGATATCATGTGTAAAAAGTTAGCAACGCCATGGCAGGATGTACAAGTGAAAACAAATGAATGAACGAACTATAAGGTACATGACTCATTTAAGCCGATATATTATAGCACACAAATCAATTTTGAGATTCTAATACTGTAGTAAAGAAGCCATATATAACAGCAACAATTTGATTTCTAAACGAACATACATAATTTGAATGGATGTCTTCATTTTTTTTTTGTAGAAGATCTAAATTATAGTATCCTTTTCTAATTGGTATTTCATACATTTTATTTGATTGCATGAGCTTGTCAATTAAAATAAAAGATGGACTAAACTCAATCCTCATGTAGCTCAAAAATATACACTCGACAACACGTTTAAAAAAAATGTCGTCTTTTACCATTTAGAAATCTGTCATATTGTGTTTTAAAAACATATTAGAACTCGAAAACTGATTATTGATAGATAAGGGCATGGTTTTATGAAATTCATTCTTGAATATATGCTTCAGAAGAATCATGTGTGAACTTTAAATTATCACACTTAATTCAAATACATGTATATCGACTCAGGATTTTTAATCATTTGAATCCAAATCTAAATTATATTCCTAGTGTCAAAGTTATGAAACCGACATAAAGAATGACTTTTTTTTTGTATTTTTCGAATGCCATCGTTAAATTTCATAGTAATGTGGATGTTTCTATTGAATGATTCTTAGTTTAATTTTTGATGAGTATATTTGAGACTCGGTTTCAACAAACTAAATGATAAAATTCAGATAACCAATAATTTGAAGCTCCAATATAGTTGCTTTTTCCGTCTAATAAATATCTCTTTCTATTTGTTAACACTTGAAAATCTAAAGAAACTTACTAATCATTTTGTAGATTTCAAAAACCTTTATCTTTCACCTATTGGAAAAAGACACTTCTGCAGAAAAAATTAGCTTATAAATGAACGCTTCTTTTTTTAAGATCTTGACATAGAATCATATATTTCATTTAACACTTTTGGAGCAGTTGAGAAATTTTGTAACACTGTATGATATATTTAACTTTCAAATTGTTGTTAGCTTCAGCTTGAAGAGGAACACAGAATGATTATATGTGTGAATTTTTTCGATTCAAATAGAGAGAAAAATTTATAGATATTGCAGTCAAGGATTCAATGAGAAATCTTTGGAAATTAAACTGAATTCTCAACAATAAAACTCGAATGGGATATATGAAATATACAGTATGGGATATTCTTCATGTTACAGTTGTTTGCCATAAAAAAAAAGGCTTTTTGATCGACCTGAAGTTTTACGTGTTTTTTACTTGAACCACGTCATGCACAATCTTGTGGTGTGTTAGTGAATCTACCATCAATCGAGCTGTCGAGGGTAGAAATTTTCAATAATTTTTTGTGCTATTGTATACTCAAGATCGATTAATGACAATAGAGGCGTTGATTCAGATCATTGAAATGTTCTTATCGACTCATCCCCTAGACCTGATAAAATAGTATCGATACAATATTTTGGTACCTAGATGCAACATGACCAATGATCAATTTGTAATAAAATAAATCAACTCTTTGATATTTGACTTTATTTTAGGGTAGATCACTGTTTTTTTTCGTTCCTTTGACGAGAAACAACCTATAGTCTGAATTTAATTGTAAGTGACATAAGTGTTTTTAATGTAAAACTTCTTGACAGTATGTATGCACGATTAGATTTACCATGGCTATTACAAATGAATAAATTGTTTTTCATTCTTTCTAAGAGAAGAGATTTTATAAATAAGTTCATTTGACATGTCGAATAAGCATTTAGCAATAATTGTGTACTGATCGAATAGTAAATACATAACATGAAGTAGTTTTGCAAGTAAAATGTTGGCATTATCCTAGTTCAGGTACATCCGAAAATCAAAAATCAAAATTCGAAGTATTTTGCAATGCAAATTGTCTACCAAATATCTATATAAACCGAGCTATAACCATTCACTTACCGAATAAAATAAATATTGACGTTCTCTTTCTGTTTTTGTGAATCGTGAAAATTTTCGATCTTTATCCTATTGAATCAAAGAAGTGATGCAAAATATCAGATAGTATTATTGCTTTAAGCCATATACGTACCTTCTACTTTGATAGGCAATCTTGTTAAATATCAAATAAAAGATAGCGATACGTGAAAATAGTGACAATGGTAATAGTACACAGTTAGGTACATATCAAATATAAAGTCTTCAAGATTAATCATTCGAATCTATGGAGTTTGATTGTTGCGAAAAAAACGCACAGACATCCTCAATTTGTTTGCCAAGGACGATCTAACGACAAATATACAATATGCCAAAACAAGGCAATGGTTCTAAATTTGTATAGTTCATTACAAAATCTGATCAATTGATTGATCAGTTTTTCTCCTATCGAAATCATTCGAATCCATCTTACATGCAATCAGTCACGGTGTCTCTCATCACACTTTATAAGCATTATAAGTTTTTGGCAACGGTTATTTTTATATAATCTTGAAATTATTATTTCACGAAACTTGTGCAATCGGCGAAAAGTTCTATTCTTAAGCCCCCCCATCCCCCTTCAAAAAAGTCACTTTTCGTCGGAATAGTCGAAATTAAGATAAATGCATAGGAAAATAGCCGGTGATCTGATCTTTCATGAACGACAAAAATTTTTACTCGACACCTCCTTTTTCCAAAAATTGCTGAATATTTTCATCGTCTTCTATTCGAAAAATGAGCTGCTTTCAACAAAAAGCCGAAATCTTTTTCGTTTTCTCTCAATTTTTGATTTTGTGATAGCGCATCCAAAATTTCTGTCTAAGTTCATACTATATGTTTAATATTTTTTATTTGAAAGAGCATGTCCAGATGGAGGGCATGATGAGGTCCGATTTTTTTTTGAATTAGACCTTTTTCTTATTATACATATAGACATTTATATAAAGTGGCGACAGTTTTTAGAGGATTTTTGGAGTCATTGAACTTTTCGTTCATTTTTGCGCTTAAAAAGTAAGTATTTGAAAGAAAGGGCTTCGTCATGCCTTGCATCTTGACATGCTCTTTCAAACAAAATAAAATTTAAATACATAACATGGACCGAGACTGAGCAATTTGAATTTTCAAATTCGCTACTTTTGACCCTTGTTTGACCAGTATCTCCTTCAGACGATATGATGTCGGACTAAAAATTTCACCATAGCTTTCCCACAATAGTCCCACCATATCCAGAAAGTTTCATGTCATTTCAACGTTCCTGGACTAAGATCAATTTTTCAGGGCAAGGGGAGAGGGGCTTAATAAGAATTATTGATATTTGCATAAACAATCACAATGTTGACCCTTAACTGATATACATAGTTGTTTATCAAGTGATCATCTTTCTCATGTTATTGAAATAAACAGAAAATGTCAATATTGATGATGCTTATTTTCTTATGGTTTTGTTTATTTTTGCTTTTTAAAAAATATCTTAAGCTAACAAAAACTGTTCCATCTTTCTGTAAATTTTCTCTATACTTCTCGATACATAATCTTTGTACTTACTTTTTTGTGCTTCAGAAACATAGAAGTATGTTTTATCCTCCCTGGTAATAACCCTTTCCTTGATAAAAAAAAAAATCAAACTCAAAGATTCGAAAAATTGATTACAGATTTGGATTCCTCGACTTCGATTATGTTTCGGCAACCTTTATAAAAAAAGGTCATTTTTTTTTTGTGAAAAACCCTTCTGTTGCTAGATGTCAATACAGTACCCTCTATTATTGCAAATTATCCAGTTGTTTTTCATTGGTTTTCCTTCTTCATCTCCTCAATAGTTAATCTGTTTTCTCTGGGCATTCCATTGATTACCTTCTCGCTCTGCGGTCTTTATTATTGTTGTTATTCGTTTTTTCTCATCGGTGATATTATTTATTTATCTTTCCTATTGATATTATTTTTCACTTATCCATTACTATTATATCATCGTTCCCATATTGATATATCAATACACGGTAAGCGTGTTTATTTAGTCTTTTTACCCGACATTTCTCATTCCCGTAGCCGACCGGGATTCGATATAACCATCATCTGGCCTAGACGTTGATTTGGGCATGAGTAATAGACAAACAAATAACTGAGAGTTTCACATCTGTAACAAAAAAATCAAACTCAACATTTTGAGAAACCAGTTACAGATTTGGATTATTCGGCTTTGATTATTTTTGATAAAACTTTACACAATAAACGTTACCCGATACATATGTATACGTGTCTTTCTATGTGCGTCCAAATACATAAGCACACAAATTTATTTTATTTCATATGATCCTTCCTTCAGTCGAGGAAATTAAAATATCTTTTCATTATTAAACTTGACACACGAAAAAATTGTTATGAGATTGTAAATAAACAGCTATCGAAAAAATATTGAACCCATCAAAGAATATTTAAATTCTATGAAAAATAATAAAAAAATAAATTTCCAAGTAGTAGAGGAAAATTTGTTTTGTTTTAATTTTTTTTATTATATTTATTTAAAATAAATATATCGAATTTTTCTACTTTTTCTGATCTTGATCATCGATCATCATCAGCGTGTTGTTGAACATAGTAAACCAATACAACGCTTTTTAACTATATTTTCTTTAAATACAACTAATGTCTAAACAAGAACTATAATTAAATCCAAAAGATATAAATGAATATATATTAACTTGAAATTTCCTAATAAAATGAAAAATAAAAATAATATAAACTTTGCAGTAGGATATGAATGTGATCAATGCTGTGACTTTCAGTCATATCTATATCCATCCTTCCACCAAAAATATATAATTCTTCTTTTAAAAAAACTATCTCAATATTGTTGATAAATTTAAAATATTAATTGAGGAAACACTGACAACATGCAGTTTGTATAAATCTGACAATGAGTATGCTTTCCATGCAACCGACTTATTTTCCAGGAAACAAGTGTAATTGAAAGCATTAATATAGGTATTCATACGAAACTTCGGATATTTGCAGCATGAATAATTATTCTTTTTTTTTTTTTTATAAAATGTGTTCTTATAATGATAATATATTTAAGAAAATCGACTACAACTTTTTCTTGAGAGCTTTGTATACATGCATCATTCGTTACATTACATGTTTGTGCATTTGCACGTTGCTGATGTCTCTCACATTGTTTCTTTTATTCAAATGTCGCATACTCTTTCGTTCTCTCTCTTACATCACTGTTACTATACGTACGATTCGTCCGCCAGTTCACACTACCTGGTGAGCATGTGACAGAACGAAATAAAACAAATATACCTATATATAGTGAGGTATAGAACATATTTAACATTACATTTTGCACAGTTTACCTACAATGGCTCATCAACGTTTGGTAACCGTAGTTGGAGCTACAGGTGCACAAGGAGGTGCTATTGTACGATCACTGATTCAAACGAGCAAATTCAAGGTAACGAACTTAATATATGTTGTAATTATGTAACCACTATTGCTCTTCTATGAAAGATTCGTGGCTTAACGCGTGATACAGCAAGTGAGAAAGCTCAAGCAGTAAAACGTTTGAGTGATCAAATTGAGATGGTCTCATGTGATATCAACAAGAGAGAAGATGTTCAACGAGCATTTAAAGATTCCTGGGCTATTTTCGCTCTAACAGACTTTTGGGCACAGCCCGATCAACCTGATGTTGAAGTCCAACAGGGTAAATTAATGGCGGATGTTGCTGCTTCTCTTCAAATTCCATATTACATATATAGTACTCTTGAAGATACTATCAAACTAAGCAATGGAAAATAGTAAGTTTTCTTTCTCATGAACTACTTTCTTGCACTATATGTTTCAATATACTTTTTAAGTGATGTGCCGCACTTTGCACAAAAAGCCAAAATACGCGATTACATCAAGGAAAACCATCCAACGTTGAAAGCAATCTATGTCGAACCCGCATTCTATATGCAAAACTGGTCAAGCTTTTTCAAAGCACAAAAATCACCTGATGGTACGATGATTTTTGCACTGCCTGTCGACGAAAAGACGACATTGCACATGACAGATATTGAAGATACGGGTCCCATTGTTTCTAAAATTTTGGAAGATCCCGACAAATATGTTGGTAAAGATATTTGCATTTGTGGCGAAGCTATTCAATTTGGCGAAATTCCAAAAGTTTTCACTAAAGTAACCGGTGTTCCGGCTATAGCAAAAACATTAACGGAAGAAGAATTCCGATCGGGAATGCAGTTCATGCCTAAACTTGCACAAGACGAAATAATTGCTATGTTCAAGTGGTTTGAAGAATATGGCTATTATGGCAAAGATAAAGATTGGACAACTGGAAAAAAGTTAACGGCATTAAATACCTTCGAGCAATGGTTAAAAAAGACTGGTTGGACAGGTTAATAGTTGGCCACTAAAAACAAACAATCCTCATTCATTTTGATAATGTAGTGTAGCTTCGTGTTCTCGTAATAAATGACATATTTGTTAATCTGGAAAGATTCGGTTGATAATTTTTATAATATATTTTCTGCGAAAACTATTTCTTTAGATATCTGAAATAGAATAAAAATCAATCAATGGCGTAGTAGCATTTTCTGATAGAAAATTCAAATGAAACTTGTGGATCGAGAGTGGGTGAGAGCGAAAGTGAATATAAGATCACACATTCACCTTTGACAGCGCATATCAAAATGCGTTAGTTCTCAAAACTACCTGAAATCGGAACCGAAATTGTGAATCTAGGTTCAATTTCCATTCCGTAGAAACGGGGAAAAAAACAAGTTTAGATTTAGATTCCTAAAAAGTGTCTTTGTCATCGTTAATTTAGTCACTATTTAGAAAATAGCTAATAGTTATTCTCTAGAAATGTCTCGAGGCTCGCAACGAAGATGTTGTCCATTAAAAAATGTGTCATTCATTAACCAAGAAAGATTCATTTAAATGAATATACAAAAAGCAAAAAGAAACCAAAGTACAACAGTAAAATTTGTTTTTCGTTATTTTCTAGAAACAATTAAAATACGTCATTTTTTTCTTTTTGATGAACATTTTCATTCGGTATAGTTTAACAAGTGAAAAATTCACTCGCATCGAATTCATACAAGAGTGGTGGTATATGGAAGACTATGATTCAAAGCCAGAGCCAACATCTATAAATTGAATTTATCTTGTATTTGATGAATTTTATAGATTATTCACTTGTTCCATTGATGGATACAATTCGATGAATGATACTGTCATAGGCTGAACTTTAGCGAAATAGCAAATTTTTGATAGTCACTTGGTTAAAATTTCGTGTGTTCTGTATATATAGTTTTAATTAATTCCATTTATCCTTTATCAACTTCCATCAGGAGTTCAAATTTCAAACAGACAGTATGGATAAAAATCTTCCCTTTTTTTCAACAATATAATTTAGTTATTACTGTTAAGATAATAGTTCATCTCAAGAAATAGAGACTTAAAAGATTTATCATCATTTGAATTCTCAGCTTTAGAAAAACTACTGTTTATAATAGTGTACTATTATGGAATCAGATTCTTCTAATAATTCTTTTTTTCATTACACGATTTTTCCTACTAATCCGCATATGTACTGATCAGTTTACACTTACAATGGCAAAAAATAAAACTAGATGAAAATTGGTGGAGGAAATCACTGAAACTAGCATCTGTAAAAAATACTTTTCTCTTATAGTTGTTGCTACTTTACGTGGACCATTTGGCTCAATCTCTCTCTGCCAGAAACATTAAAAGAATTATTGCAGAGAAAATATAGAAATAGAGTCAGACTAATGCAACACTACGGTTTTGTTCTAATACAAACTTTTCTCTCAGTCACGAATGAGATGTTCTCCAAAGCCAATGTGCAACAGCTGATCATGAAAAAATTATAAAGAATTGCCATAAGATATCTTGTAGTGTGTCCTTTTTTTCTATAAAGATGTATTTTATGCATATTTAATCTCAACAGTAAAAATTACCATTTGAACCACTTTCTTTTTATCATTAGAGTGAAAAATATGACGTACAAAGTGTCGCTCTCTTCTTCTACAATGACTTGAATTCTTCTTGATGCAATTTCTCTGCTCTTATCAGTCACCATCTCTCTCTGTTCTTCTTTTTACTTTTTCTTTTTCTGTTCTTCGTCTTTCCTATGTTCTGTCAGCTGTATTCTTGTCTTTTCTTTTATTGTAACCTTTCTATTCTTTCGTAGCAAATGTTCTACTACATGTGTGCTTTAATTGCACGCATATTATCTGTTAACATAAAAAGCTGCGTATGCTTATCACTTTCTCTGTGTATGCCCTTCTGCGTATAGAAATAAATCGAGCAAGCTTGAAAAAAGATGGATATAATCTATGCAGCGTTCTTTTTTCTCTCCATGACATAAAAACATAGCTCTTATTCCTTTCATTCATTCTATTCTCTCCTACACATAGAATATAAGCCTTTTTCTTCTTTCGCAAGAACAAAATAGAATTTCGACATCCCTTTACAAAGTAACTATAAAAAGACATTAATTCTAGTTATTTTACATACATTTACTATGGCTACAATTATTAAACAGAAGTCTATTACTATCAAATGTTCAAACCCATCGACAAACGTTGAAAGTATAACATGTATGGCACTTGAATCAAGTGCAAAACAATTTTCTGTCAATATGATCTGGATCTATTCGAATACTGCAAATTTGTCAAAAGATGATTTTATGCCATCTGATCAACTACAAACTACTCTATCGAATACTCTCAATTATTTTCCTATACTAGCTGGTCGTGCTACAGAAGATACGAAAGGCAATGTCATCATTCATTTGACAAACGAAGGTGTTCTCTATACCGAAGCTGAATGTCCGAATCATACCTTGGACTATTTCATACCACAAACATTGCTAGAGGAAGGATTTGATTATGAGCATATCAATACGAGTGATTTAGCTGTAAAAGTAAAAAATGATTGCACAGGGCCTTGCATGTCTATACAAGTGACGCGTCTTAAGTGTAATAGCGTTATTCTAAGTATATCTGCTTTTCATTGTTTAACGGATGCACACAGTATGTCGCATTTCATCAATGCATGGGCTTCTGGTAAACCATCACAATCGATGCCAATGTTCGACAAAACTTTTATCTTATATCCTACTGAACAACAACAACAACAGATAAATTCTTTGACTCGACCAAAGAACTGTGTTTTCAATCGAAATGCCATTTCATTATCTAATGAACCATTCGTTCAAGTACAACAACAGCGTGTGATTTCCAAAGTTTATTTTTTCTCTGTCAACGAACTGAATAATATTAAAAAAGAAGTATCAAAAGACATATCAACATCAGTTGATTACATCAGCACTTACGATGCTCTTTATGCTCATATGATTTTAGTAATTGCAGCAGCCACTCAAACCTCATTGACAGATAATATTAAAGTTCTACAGTCACTCAACGGTCGTTCAAGTTTCATTTCTTGTTGTTCACCAGCCGTTCTCAACTACTTTGGTTCATTTCCATTTTGGCTCTATGCTGAAATACCATCAGATCGAGAGCCAACCCTTTCATCATTAGCACAGTTGATTCATGAAATGTATTCAAAACAAACGGAACATTCGTTGAGAGAATATAATGCTTATTTAATGAGTGGCGACGGTGATATTAACAAAAATCGAGCAGATACCGATATAATTAATCGTGATTTTTATTGTTCATCATGGCGAAAAGGAAATCTGTTAGATGCTAATTTTGGTAATAGTGGATTTCCTATCTACAGTGGATTAACTGATCTTTTGTATCCACGATATTTTGCAATGATGGATACGCGTGCAAGAGATGGATCGGTTAATATTGTATTAGGAATGAGAGAACAAGATTATGAACGAATGATACAACAAAATATGCTACATAAATATCAATAATTTTTTATGAAAATATTCTAAATATCTTTGTTTGCTCGATGATTGAACGTTAACTTAAAAACTCATTTAAAAATAAACGATTTAGTTAGATTCAAGCTCGGTATTTCTTTGTGTCACCATGATGAGGTGACGATGATAAGAAAATATAGCTAGGGTGTAGGGATGAAGATTATGATGGTAAAAATTTGAGTGTGCACAAAATACTTAGAGTAGATAAAACAACAAAACTAATTAGATACATGAATAGTAAACAGTTTGGATAGATGTTTATATAGTCTGAAGAAAATATTTGAGTCGCCTCGCTTATTAACTTCATTACTTATTATAATTTTATGTTTTTGTATTAAAACTATGGCAATAAATAAAAATGAATGAAAACTTGAAAGTAGAATAAAAAAAAGAATTTAATTTATTCTTCTCTCCCCTATATTCTTCTCTGTTGTGCATAACCATTTATTTAATTAAATCTGTTATTCATTCATTCACTTATGTTTTTTGATTGTTTATTTATTGTTTTATTTAAGTAGCCATTCATTGACTCATTTTTTCCAATACAAATTAAAATTACATTAAAAAATCCGACTAAAAAGTATTTACTTTTTATTAGTTGGTGTGCTTGTGTTTTTTTTTGTTTTATATTCAGGTGAATTATATTCATCATTGATTCGCTTTAATGTTATCATCCATATCCTGTAATAGTTATTTTACGTGATTTTTGATTCAAAATTGTTAAGATAATCTGTCTATCGGTTGTAAAGGAAAGACAACCTTCTATACGATATTGTTAAAAATACAGCTAAGGATGAAAAAGAATGATAAAATGCTCGAGTAAATGATCATTGAAACTCAAATTTTTGCATTTTAACATTCCTTCACAAAAGTTATCCCAGACGACCATTTTGTCCGACCTCGATAATAATAAAAACTCATTAAATGATTTCTATATGTAACATGCAATTAGAGTATTTCTTGCGTTGAAATCTCTAAAGAAAAAAAAGTTACAATTTTATGAAGAATGTATTGTCATTATTATTTATCATTCTTTGTACAATATTGCTTGGTAATAATCAGTTGCAGCAGTGGACCATTGGACCAGTCCATGGGGGAAGTTGTTCCACTTTATGGGGAAATGCTTCACCCCACATAAAGTCACACATACCAAGGAGAAATGGAAAGAAAGAATAATATATATATATATACATATAATTTATTATATGATACGGTGTATACACTTGAATATAGAGAGAAATAGTTTTTCCTTCACCGAGAAATGGTTCTTATTTCAAAGCGAAATGCTTAGACTGTATCCCTTTCTCCACAAAGTAATCGATCTCGTGGAAGAAGTATAATGCTAGCACTATTTTCTAGCACTAGTTCCATCTTTAAATTCAAGTAAATAAATTTTGTTTAGTTGTTAATTTTCAGTTGGATAATCGAGAAGGACATTATTTATCGCATCTACCTTCGAATGATAACGAATAATTACCCCTGTTCATTTACTCTGTCTAACCTAACATGCAACTTTCACGTAATCATTCTCAATTCAAACAGAAACAATACGATTGAATTTCCATTTAGTCGAACATTCTCTGCATAATTATATTTTTATATTGTGATGAAATTCTGTTTTCTAGATCGAATATTTTAGTGAACGCTATGAATCCAACAAACGACTTCGCAGCAATCTCAAAGTGACCTGAATGCTACAACTAAAAACAGAAATGTGCATTTCTCAAAATTTAGTACATTATATTCGGCATTTTACGTAATACTACTAACTTGATGCACATGCCATCGTGTTGGCTATTATAAATGACGTAGATGCAACATGTCCTTACACATATTTCCACCGTCCTTCACAATTTCTACCACCATGCAACTTACACAATCTCATAGTGATGCAACTCTTCTTCAAAAATTAGCATTCCTAACGGGAAAAAAACCACATCTACTTGAAACATCCGTTAACATGCTAAAAAAACCCTTTCTCTCTATCTCTTTTCGACTTCTGCTCATGAATAGGGATATGGATGAAGCATTTCTCCTAAAAAATTAACCATTTCTAATAGAAAAAATCCATTTCTGGTAGAAACATGCCTTAAGATGAAAGTATTCTTGTGGAAAAAAGCGTTTCCTTCTGACTGTATGTAGTTTAAGCATTTCTGCTTGAAGTGGAACAGTTTCTCTTTGAGAGGGGGAAATGGTCCAGTCCTCTTTTTAGTCCAGAAGTAAGAAGATTATGCTAGATAAACTTCATATTATTTCACAAAGATGGAGTTCCTCCACCTTTTAACCTCGATATTTTTCAATTCTGCAGAAGATTTCTCCAAACAATTACAATAGAAGAAGCAACTCATTTCAAAATGAGAGTCAGTTAAGCTGACGTAACTCAACGTCTTTTATAGGAACATGTAGAAAATAATTTATATAGAGATATCTGTTAAAGATCTAATATCAGTTGAAAATGAAAATCTATAATGAGATTAAAAAACAAAGATGTCAAACTAACTTTTCTATGATGTTTTTACCGATATTTTTGAAATACATAGGTTTATATATTGTATTTGTAAATGATCATTTTGTACACCTATTAGAGACAAATTTATGTAAGACATAACTTCAATGAATATGGAATGAAACTAGAAAATTAGTTTTAAATACCTTCAGTTTTAATGAGGAGAAAATGATAAAACCCAAAAATGAAGTCCAATATCGATGGTACTCGAAAATTTCATATAAAACTGCTGCATAAAACAACAAACTATTTATTTAGAATGATCTTTAATTATTTCAACACCATATTCATATTGAACTGATTCATTCAATTGATTCCCTATTTTAAAATGCTCTTTAAAATAAGCTAATCTTGAAAATTTCGCCGAAAGTTGTGTGTAACAAAGGAAAATATTCGTATGAAGTGTGTGAACACCCAGAAATGTTTGATCGTTCGTCTCCCGCTTTTTCTCTGTTCAGATTTGTCCAGTTTTTACGGACCATCCTCTCTCTCTCTCTCTGTATCTGAATATCCTCTATGAATGATCTCTTGTGGTTGGTGCATGTAGTGGTCGATGGGCATCAAGTTGTACCAATGCACAAATACGATCAATTAGCCGTGTTAAAACAGCTAAACGAATTGTTTTAGGTATTTTTTTAATCATTTGTCTTGTTTATACCCAAATGTTCTTTTGTTTCGATGGTTTATATGAGTCAACTTCATCAAATTGTTTTACTAAATCAGAGACATGTGAACTGTACAATAGTTTTGCTCTTTTACTTACTTATTCTCTTTTTCCTTGTTTTCTCATGTTGACATTTGGTTTATTAACTATCCGAAACATACGACAGACTAAACGGCGAATAGCTCCCATAGGTAACGTACAACACAATCGACATAAGAAAAAAACATCAACACAAATGACTGTTATGCTTCTTGTTCAAGTGATTTATTCCTTCATTCTTTCGTTACCAATTTCTTTACAAAACATCTATAATGAATTGACTCGAAACTCTAAAAAATCGAAGGAACAACAAGAAATAAGAAATTTTCTTGGTACTTTATTTATACTTGTTACTTTCATGAATAGTTCCATACCATTCTACATTTTTACACTTACTGGGAAAATGTTTCGAGAGGAATCGAAACGATTATTATCTTCTCAATTTAGCATGTCTACTGTTTCTCCGATAGCATGATCTTTCTTTTATTATAATACCATCTAACATTCATGACACAAAATAGTGTTTCATTTATTTTGATTTTTTAACTAAAATAATAAATATGTTTATTTATCAATCCTACAATCCAAAGTATAAAAATAATTTCTTGCCTAAGAAATTTTTTAGACTGTTCTCATTTAGAATTAGTACTTACTGGGTTTGGCATTAAAAATATCATTTATTGAGACTAGGGTATGAATGTGAGTTTGAGTGTATACAAGTGTGGTTGAATGTGGGAGTGGGTCTTCTTTTTAAGTGATACTCACACACACATACCTTGGTCTTCTTTCTCTTCAGTTCCAACTTTTCAAGTGTAATTCAATTGTATTGGTTTGAACATGATAAAAATACAAACGTATCATTGAAACCGTTATATGTAAAAGCCCTTCAGTCTATTCTCAGATGAATATACACTTTCATGTAAATATATGTGCAGCTTCTTTAAAGAAACATGATTACATATCATTATTCTATTTGAAAGCTTGTAGCATCATTTTAGCACTGTCATTAGAGTTCTGTTATTATATATTTAAATTTAGCTATTAAAAATGACAGTACATTTTTCATAAAATAAAATTTTTTATTTATTATAGATGATAAAATTACTACCTAGTAAGTGCTCTATTTACGACCATCAATGATATAAAATAACACGGAACTAAGTAGAATATAAACTTATGAATAGAATTTTAAAAAATGTACATATATTTCAAGTTACAGTCAAATATTATGTCGATAGTAACAATTCTTTATCTTTTGCATTCAATATAAAACATAGATAATAGAAATTTATCAACAAAACTATGGATGATCAAAATGTTTTTTTTTCTTCAAGTCGTCTTGGATTGAAATATTCTTTATGCAAAACCAAAAAAAAAAGACTTTTTTAGTAGACATCAGCGTCGAAAAAAAAACTAATAATTCAATAGATTCGCGGCATCTGTTGATGCTTTCTAGAGAATAAAATGATGGTAAACACTTAATTTCCTGGGTATCGCAAGGTGTAAATGGCTACCGTATTTCTTCTAGGCACATGGTGCACTTATCTGAAGTGGTACATTGTTGATAAAACTTCAAACATTTATTGTTTGTTTCTTTTTGCTGCTCATTTCAGTTGAGTTTTTGCTCCATTGGTGCTTGACGTAACAAGAGTATGACCACAGACATATTAATATCAACGAACAATGAAATTCAAGAACAAATAAAAGAAACTTATGAAAATGAATCTCATGAAAAGCTTGCAACCAGTGTGAGCGAAAATGGTAAATATATTTGATAAACAA